CGGACTCCAGGCCTTCAGGGTCACTGTTTACATTCGCACCCCCCCAGCCCCAGCCTAATTCTGCTGGGAGATCCCTGGGGCAGGGCTGCAGTGGACAGAGAGCTCTCATATAATGCAGGGAAGGGGGCTGTTGTCAAACACTCTTCATAGTTAAATAAAACAAGTCTTGTTCCGTTGTTCCACACTTGCTTGCTTGCTTTTTTTTCTTTTCTTTTCTTTTTTGCTGAAGCATTTTTATTTCACTTACTAAAACTTAATCGTCGCATGAAGGGATCAAGTTCTCAGTGCAGACTTCGGGCTGCCCGGCTGGCTCTGTCTGGGGGCGACGGAGCCACACACAGGCAGGACGATGAATGGGGCTCAGTCTCAGCTTGAGAAAACATTGGTGGAACTCAACTGCCAACGCACACGCGCCCCCCGCTTCAAAGCCGGCCCCCCGCCCCCAGCTGAAAGGACAGAGAAACTTTCTTTCCAAGGTGACAACACAACTCTTCCAAAGCAAGTTCCAACAGAGATGTTTAAGTCTTGAAACCATAGGTTCCTTGATGGGACAGAGCCCCCTTTCAGCAAAGGGCCACCTGCCCAGCAGAATGAAACTGCACGAAGGTGTGGGAAGCTGGGCTGTGCTCGATTTAGGGCCCCCGTTACCGTCGTCCTAGAGGACGTGCTCAAACTACCACCCCAACTCAGATTTGTCTGATGGCTACTGAAAGGGAGCTCCCAGAGGTCATTCTGGTAAAAGTGCGGGGGGTGGGGGTGGGCTGCAGCATCTCCCAAAACCCAAGTTCCTCCAACCTTGTTAACACAGAAGAGCAATAGCTATAAAAAACATTCGGTAACAGAAGGAAAGGAACTAACTTGTGAAATACACGTGCATTTCAGATAATGAAGCCAAATAGAACTCAGTGGGTCATAAGCTGTAGCAAAAAGGAAGAAATACAGAAAAGGTCATTTTAAAAAAATAAAAGAAGCATTCAGAGCAAAACTGTTCGCTGCTTCAAGTCTTTTTTTTTTTTTTTTGAATGAGTGGATAACCCATAAAGCAGTCATGGGCTCCAGTGGGAAATTAGCTCCCAACTGGTACCAACTGGGCTTCAGGGGACTGATGATCATCTTCTGCATAACTCGACAGATCAACAGACCAATCTTTACTGACAGCCTCCGTGACCCTCATTGAGCTAGAAACCAAAAAATATTTATCAGCTATCAAATATTTCCTTTTCCAACACCAGGGCACCTACAGTGTAGGCACAAACTTAAAGAAAAGCCAGTCAGATGCTCCCACTCAGAACTTCCAGGGAACAGCAGGAAAGCACGAGGTCTGTTGGAAATGACTCACTGCTGTGGGAGAGTCCACAGTCCTCGGGAGCAACAAGTGTTTAATGGCAGCACAGCAGGGCAATGTCCTGCACAAACTATTCCTTTGCCCAGCCTACCCTTGGTTTCTGCCGGAGCTTGGTTCTTCATCATTCTGTTCATTCATTCTCATTTGGTAAATTCCTTTTTTGCCTAAGTTTAACCAAGTGGATTTCTGTGATTCATCAAAATCAACTACGACTTGTATACAAAGCACAGGGAGGAGAATAAAAAAACTATCAACTCTTGTCTTTTTCTTTCTTTCTTTCTTTCTTTTTTTAAGTAGGCCCCATACCCAGCGTGGAGTCCAATGCAGGGCTTGAACTCCCAACCCCTGAGAACAAGACCTGAGCTGAGATCGAGTCCGACGCTTAACTGATTGAGCCACCCAGGGGCCCCAACCTTTTTCTTGATCCTTGCCTTTTTTTTAACTGCATACAATGTTGGCTCTCTTTCACTGTACTGTTGCTTTTTTAAAAAAATTTCTTTGGCATTGTCCTATTCTCATCCTATCAGATCCACACACCCCTAAAACCTGTGAAAAGGGGAATAGAAGAGGAAACAAGAAGGAAGGGAAAGTGACCAGAGATTGATAAGCATGAACAACGCATGAGAAGGAGTCAACGAAAGCTGACATTCACAACAATTTGACCGCTTGCAGTTAAAGCAAAGCACTTAACTATTTTGGACATTTCTTCCCTAATGTACATAGTACAACTTGAAAAATAAGAAAAGGAAGTGGACAGAAAGAAGCCAAAGAGAAACAAAAAATAAGAGCTACACACCATGACCTGAAAACCAAAACCCCAAATCTCCAGTAAGTCAACCAACTGCCCCTTCTCTTCTCCCACATTTCCCCTAAAATGAGTGATCCTAAGCATTGCTTGGAGCACAGCCAGAGAAGCACAGAGAAAGGGGCATGGAGGGATTACAGTCGGAAGAAAGATCCTGGGATGTGCAGGTGACTCTTAGCGACAAGACAGTTTCCTTTACTAGTAGGAACAGAAGGCAACACTACTGAATTATTTTCCTGGTAACTGTCCCTCGGTTGGGACATCTGAGGTGCAGGCCCCGAGCCAGACAGCTCACGTTGAGTTCAATTCCCCCAGGGACTGAGCACTAAGTTCCAGTAATATTTTAAGATACAAACTCAGAAATAAAGAATGTCTAGCAAATACAGCCGACGGCAAGAAAGGCTCTGGGAAGGGCATAAAGGTTACTGTATAGAAGGCAGGCTCCTCTTTTAAGGATCTACCCCATGGGTGCAGAACAAAACCCAGGTGTTTGAGAGTTCAATCCAAGGGGCTCTCTGCAGAGTAAGAAATGAGACTTGTCTGTTTCTGGATAATGCAATTTG